GGCTTTAATTGGAAGAAATTAAAGTTCTGGGATCAAATTATAATTTTTAAAAGTTAATTTGGTCAAATCAGGGGCTTAATTGCATAAAATTGAAGTTTGATGGCCAATTAAAAATTTAATTGAAGAAATTCAAAACTAAGGACAAAAATGGAAAAGGTTGCGTAAGTATAGGGGTTGGAATTAAACCGGTCAAGGGCTCAATTGAAGAAATTAAAAGTTTATTGGTCAAATGAGGGTCAAATTGCATAATTTCAAGACTAAGGATCAAAGTGAAAAAGGTGGCCAACTTCAAGGCCGCTGTTGGATTTTTGGCAGGGATGCAATTGCATTGATTTTTAAATTAAAATTACAATTTAGGACTTGATTGAGCAAATTACAAATTGAGAACCAATATAAAAATTGACACATTTTTGCTGCCTTTTCATTTAAATAAAACGGCACTGTTTCATACACTGTTCACTTAAAAAAAAAAGACAGAGAAAGCTTGAAATAGTACCGTTTTGAACGGCACCTATGTCTTCTTCTTTCCTTGGACGCGCGAAGCAGGGGAAGAAGAAGAAGACTTTTTCTTCTATTCCACCGCTAACTCTCTTCCAAAAAGATGTCGACCACTTTCCACGTGTTAGATGGATGATGGAGAGGCTGTTGCATAGTAGGCGCCTCCTGCCTCTCTCCCCCTTGTTTCCTTATAAATACAAGGGAGAGACCAAGAACAAAAAGGAGAAAAAACTGAGATCGAGAGGGAACAAACCAAGAGAGATAGAACAGAGGAGAAAAGAGAGGGGGGAAGCCAAAAAAAAAAGAGAGAAAAAAGCATAAAAAGAATGTAAAACAGAAAAGAGAGAGAGAAGAAAAAACAGCACCGCTGACCACCAGCGCTGCCACCTGTCGCCTTCAGTAGCACATCCAAAACTTGCAATAACCATAGGTCAGCCCTTCTCCCCCTTTTCTTTTTCCTGCTTCGTTCCTACTACACCTCCACTATTCACATAGCATGTGAACAGTGGAGGACATTATTCACACTGGCTAGGCCGAGCTCAGCCCATGTATTTGGGCTTGATCAGCCCATTAATGTTTTTTTTTCAAATATTTATTTTAGAATTTTTATAATTTTTTCATGTATTTTTTTGTTATTTTGATTAATATCAGGCAGTACTTTTATGTCGTAAACGTATAACTCCGGTATTAAAATACTTGGTTGTCATCAAAACTTCCAAAAATACAAAAAAAAATATTTTTGTGCATTCGACCAAGTATCTCAAAGCTAAAAAATCATATTTTATTTTTCGTACACTAAAAAACAATGTTTTAGCATATATTTTGGCTTTAATAACCAGTTTATTAAAGTTAAAAGAACATTAGCCAAAATTTCAAAAACAACAAACATTTTATTTTGTTTGTCTCTTAGTATCCAGGTTATGACAGTACACATAATGCATATTTTGGATATTTAATTCTTTTCCTGACAATAAAACGATTAAGTTTTACCGTATTAAGATAAGGATCTCTTTATAGAGAAGAACTTTTCTTAAACCTTAAACAGACCAACAATTAAAAACTACAATACAACTTTAGATTTTATCAGACAAAATAATACAGCCTATCTTAGATAGGACGTATTTGGAGTGCTATTACCTTCCTTTTATACAAACAGTTTCTATACTCGATTTTTGAGACTAGGTAGAATTTCTAGTGATCAGAATACTACATAACGACTCTCTTTCAAAATTTTCACTAATAAAAAACACAAAAATTCCTTATTTTTTCATATTTTAATAAAAATATATCATATTTTATATTTTTTTTAAAAATAAACTATTGCTATGATGCCGTACACATTCAAACGTGTATTCTTGTAAGTCCTCGGTAAAATCCCCATCAAACACATTGAAACCCGATTGGTGAGACTAGTGGTGCAATTATTGATCTGACTGGTAAAAAAAAAAAATCAAATCAAATTGATACCTCTGACTCTTAAAATTATCCACTTGCTATTTTAATAAATTATTTTATTTATGTTTGATCATGTCTAGCAAAATATATTTTTATTTTAATACTAATGATTCAACGGTTTCATCAATGACTAACTAGGAGTCAAATAAAATAATATATAAGTTATCCATCTCCAAAACCTCTCCTAATCATTAAAACGACCTTCCATCTCCCTATTCAAAAACACCACCACTAGCCCTCCTGAAACGCACCTCAACTATTAGCTCTGGCCCCTTAACCACCACCGATATTAACCACAATGGCCACCTGAACCCTTAATGCTACCACCGAACGCGCCATCAGCAACAGCCAATAACAATAAAAAAAAGCCACCAAAACCCCCAAAATGCCATCCATAAAACCTCCTCATGAGAAGCCAAAATTTGGCCACACAACTTAGCAAACACCACCAGCAAAACCACTCATGCACCAACCCAAACTCGAGTAACAAAAAACCCTGAAACACCACTCAAATCATGCCATCTCCATACCAGAAACTCCAGTTAACAATCTAAGGAACAACCCTCCCATAAACATCTATTAGCCGCCATTACTCAACCTAATAATAGCTGTGTGCCCAATAACCACCACTAGCTCGGTAAATAAGGAGAGAAAATAAGCAAACTAACGCGAGGAAAAACATTTATAAATCTCTCTCATTGGTTAACAATGAATATAATGGCCTTCATCAATAAGTAGGCAAGATTAGTTCACCCACAAATGCGTTAGTCCATTTCTTTCAGACATCGATGCATGCCACCTAGTCCACGCGCCACAGAACATGTTGATGCTTGGATACATGCAGCGTCACCTTTTCAGTTGATTTTTTAGCAGCTTGCAAAGTATTTTTTCCCCTCATGTTTTTGTTTATTTTTCACATATTTATTGTTGTTTTCTTAAGTTATTATTTTTTTAAGATTAATGAATTTTTTTAGGATATATATTATAGGAATGATCATTTGATCCATCCGAATCTTGATTCAGATTTATAGTTGGAGATAGAATTCTCCAATAAGCTCAATTAAAATAGAAATAGAATATATAAATTAACACTACAACTGAGAACTTACAAATGGTCAGTAGTGCTTTGACTGTTAAATGCTCGCAATCAATTCCAAGTGTTCAAATTCTAAAGTTCACGGGGTGATGTTAAACCAACAGATACAAGATCGAACGACTCATTTTAATGATAAATATAAACAATTCACTGTTAGTTATAAAGAACTTCTCCAATTGATAATAGAGATGAAATCATAAATGAGTGGTTCATGTGCACCCTCTAATTGACCCGATGGTTCCAGTGACGACCAATCTTTTTCTCTTCTAGTATCGCCTTTATTTTAGATTTATTGTATTTGAATGTCCAAATGTTTAAATTTATAATAAATATTTTATTTTTATACTAACTTATTTTAAAATAATAAAATAAATTTATTTTAATTATTTTTTTACTTATATTCAATATGTTATTTTTTAATAATTTTAAAATATTACTAACGAGGTTACGTATGAGACAACTTTGTTGGTATATTCCAGAAAGTTAAAAATGAATTACTATACATTTCACTACTACTATTAACGCATCAATGGAATTACAAGTGGTATTCTATCGATGAGATGTTATTTTTATTGATGGATATACCAACGAGATAAAGATGATACTTTTTTATGGTTGCTTTGTTTGTCTGTAAATCCATTAGTATATTTGTTATCGATAGACTCATCAACAATCTATAAATTACCGACAAGAGTTTTTGCAATAGACTATTTTTGTCCCTGAACGTGTCGGTAACATGTGTACCAATGAATTGCTGGTATAAATACCAACATAATTTTTTGTTGGTAAAATTGTTAAATCTATCTGGTAATGGTTGTTAGAATTTTTATTAAATTGTTATTGGCCACACAACTTAGCAAACACCACCACCAAAATGCATATGTACAATGTGATTTAAATCGTTAGTAATGTTGGTAAGCATAAATTTTCATAATAATTTGATAATTCAAATGATTAAGTTTCCAAAATTTTGAATTCATTATAAGTATAACTGATAGTCCAAATGCTTGCTCCCTGTAAATATATTAACAAAATAGCACAATGTTATGATAACTAGTAGTTATATTAAGCAATGAAGATTACTATATTTCTAGTGCTCTCCTTCTCTTTGCCATCACAGCAACTTCATTTCCTGAAGCGGTTCATGCCAAAGATCTTGTAAAAATGATGGATGTCTTTCAAAATAAGGTTCAAGTTGGTGCTCCTTTATTTAATCGTAGGAAAATGTTACAAAATTTTTATAATTTTATCCAGAACGGAACGGATAAAATAAACTTGAAGCATTTCATCTTGAATTTAAAAAAGAAATTTGGAATTATCCAGATGTTAAGCAATATATAATCTTCTTCACTTTTCCTACAAAAAAAAAGGTAATAATACTATGTCATCTAGGGTTTGCCGAGCGTAATTTTGATGTTATTCTCTACATAGAAACTCTCTGTGATGGAGGTTAGAGATACTTTTATTATTATATTTTATTATTTTACAAAATCATCCAAAATAAGAATTTAAATTTATTTATATTTTCAAATTTTTTTATTCTTAAGAATTCATGCATTTGCTATTTGTTACAAGACGGAAAGAATACTAAGAAATCTGTCGGCCAATCATGGTGAGTACAGTTTGCTTTGACAATTCCAATGGGTTAAAGAGCTATTTTCCACGTGTTATAATAGTAGTAAATTTAATTTAATTTTAAGAGATAATTTAACCAATAAAATTTTTAATTTATTTTTAAAAAAGAAAATTTCAATTTTATATTATATGGTTGACAGAGCACTCATATTATTCTAAAAGGAAAAATAAATTAACTTTATATTATATGGTTGTAAATATTTTTTGGTCTAGTGCATTAAAGATATTATATAGCTGTCACATACGTTTGGAATTTGCGTTCGGTCACATTTTCATTGAAAAGGACGAGATTTCTATAATAATTATATGGCGTTAAAGACTCTCTCAGAGACGGAAAAAAATAATTAAAATCAATCCCAACGTTGCCGCTTTAAGTGGAACGTCCATTTCAATCATATAGACTTTTTTAAAGTGGCACCGTTTCATCAGAAAGATGCCACATCGTGCTTAATAGACTAATTGCATAGAACTAATTAAGGTGTTCGACTCCCTTGACTGCGATAGAGAAACAAAAATGTTAAATAGACCAGGTTAATTCTTACAGTAACACCCTAAAAAAATAAAAATAAATAAATAAAAAGCCTTTCCCTGTACATTATTGTGCCTTCTCTTGTAATTTTCTATGAATGGAACTGTTCATTGTCCTTTCTTATTTCTTATTTTGATTCTTAAATTTTATTTCTCTCAATTTCATCTATTTTTGTAAGATTTTATTTTCTTTACACATTCTTAGAAATTTAAGGTGTTTTTGTATACTTCAAAGTTGGATTGGAGACCACTTTAGTTAAGTAAAATTTGAATTTATACTATAAAAAATAAAAATCAAAATCAAAATGAAATAAAAAACTAACAACGTTTGTTTTTTATTTTTTTCATAGAAAAAACCTCTTTTTCATCCCAAAATTCTTCATATATGCTCTTTATTCCTTTTAATTTTAGATTTTTATACATGGATCCTTATTCCTTTAATTTTTGTCCTTATGAGTTGTGAAAGATTAGAGAAAAAGTCGTCAGAGAATAAAAGATAAGATAAAAAATAATTTGCTCATCATATTCCAACAAAAAAAAAAACTGATAGCAATAGGTTTTTTTTTTTTTAAAAAACTGATAGCAATAGGTTTTTTTTTTAAAAAAATAGTGCTATTAATATTTTGCAAGTGGCTCCATTAGGGATGGTCATGGACCATAATGCATAAACTTGAATTTCCCATTCTAGGACTTCATGTTAATTTCTAATGTAAAAGAAAGAAAGAAACAATTGTATTATAAATGTGTTTCATGTATTATATATATATTTTTAATTAAAAAAATGTATTGATTATTCTTATGAAATAAATTTAAAAAAAATATATGAACGGGTAAATAAAACAAAGTTATTAACTCTTATTAATAAAACCTATTTCGCATGGAAAAACTATTGTACACAAGTTATGAATCATTGTGGATTGAAAAAGTGAATTCATAGTTTTTCCCAAAAAAAAACACAAATAACTAGTCTTCAAAGGTTAAAATGGTTCATTTATAATTTTTGAATTATTTTAGATACATCTTATTCTTTTCAAAAAGTTTTTTCACAACAAAATTACTTGATTTCTCTTAACATAAAAAAACACTTACCTATGGTCTAGAAGCTTTTTTAATATTTTACCTTTTTAAGCACAGTGTAATATTGTTTTTAAAATAAAAAATCCTAAAAATTAACTACATTGGGCTTATTAATATTTTTATAATGATTATTTGATTCTTTGGGAAATGTGGTATTTTGATAAATAAAAAATAAAAAAAGTTGTTGATAACTATGTTGCATGAGATAGTTACTCTATCACATATGCGATTTACTCTAATAGTTGCGCCCCAGCACATCGAAAAAAGTTTTAATTATTATTGGGATTGATTAAAAGATCAAATAATTATAACAGAAAAAACTGATATGAGATTATGAATAAACTTCTAATATCAAGCTTTTAAATTTTTTATTTTAAAGGTAATGGAGTAATTTTAATATGCTTTGAAGAGTGAAATTTTAATTAAAAAAAAAGCTCTAAACCCAAGTTAAGTGTTGTTTTGATTTTAAGGGTATTCTGGTAACTTAATCATGTAAAAGAGTTTTAAAAAAGCAATAGCAACCTTGATTAATTCAAAACTTTTCAATCCGGGAGTAAGTGTGAAATATTTTGAAGAACAAAATGGTAAATTTACTATTTCAACCAACAATAATTGATCTAATCTTCTAAATATGAGTTAATATTTTAAATTCACAACCAGTGAAATCATAGCTCTATGTTTAATTGAGAACTTCAATTTTTAACTAATTTAATTTTGAAGGATAAAATTAGAAAAAAATTTCAATTTAAAAATTTTACCAAAGAAAAAAATATCAATAAAAATATTGAGCACCAAATTTGAAAGAAAATAAATAGAGAGTCAAATTGAAAAAAAATTAAATTTTAAAACTATATTAAATAAATAAATAACAA